AAGAGAGGGTTTGGATCTTCCAGTTGGCCAATCGCAACCCAAAATGGGTTTGGACTCTTCCAGTTGGCCAACCCAAACAAGAGCGTGGTTGGTCAACCCAACCAAGAGAGGGTTTGGATCTTCCCATTGGCCAACGCAACCCAAAGTGCGTTTGGACTCTTCCAGTTGGCCAACACAACCAAGAGCGTGGTTGGCCAACCCAATCAAGATCGTGGTTGGGCTCTTCCAGTTGGCCAACGCAACCAAGAGAGGGTTTGGATGTTCCAGTTGGCCAACGCAACCCAAAGTGGGTTTGGACTCTTCCAGTTGGCCAACCCAACCAAGAGCGTGGTTGGTCAACCCAACCAAGAGAGGGTTTAGATGTTCCAGTTGGCCAACGCAACCCAAAGTGGGTTTGGACTCTTCCAGTTGGCCACCCCAACCAAGACCATGGTTGGTCAACCCAACCAAGAGAGGGGTTGGATGTTCCAGTTGGCCAACGCAACCCAAAGTGGGTTTGGACTCTTCCAGTTGGCCAACTCAACCAAGAGAGGATTTAGCCAAAATTTAATTTAACCAAAATCTTTGGGATTTTCAGGAATTCCCCCCAAAATTGATGGGAATAGTTGGAATTTTTGGGAATTTTCCTTTAATTTGCCCAAAATCTTTGGGATTTTCAGGAAATCCCCTCCCAAAATCTTTGGGATTTTCAGGAAATCCCCCCAAAAACCATGGGGATTTTCAGGAATTCCCTTAAAATTCGACCAAAAATTTCGGGAATTGCGGGAATTCCCTCAAAATCCCCCCAAAATCCTTGGAATTTTCAGGACTTCCCCTCTAAATTCCCCCGAAATCCCAACAATTTTCTTGATTTTTCCTGATTTTTTCCCGATTTTCCCCCATTTCTCCCCATCCAGTCGTCAAAACCGAGGGGGACCAGCCCCACCCCTCCCCCCCCGATTTTCCCCCATTTCTCCCCATCCAGTCGTCAAAACCGAATTCGACCAAAAATTTTGGGAATTGTGGGAATTCCCTCAAAATCCCCCCAAAATCCTTGGAATTTTCAGGACTTCCCCTCTAAATTCCCCCGAAATCCCAACAATTTTCTTGATTTTTCCTGATTTTTTCCCGATTTTCCCCCATTTCTCCCCATCCAGTCGTCAAAACCGAGGGGGACCAGCCCCACCCCTC